TGGGTATCCACGTTGTTTTGAGTGCAGAAAATAAACTCCTGAAGGCATTGCTGGGCTCCAAATACCAGCTCAGGTTCACGGGTCTCTGTGATGCATGTGACCTTCCTCCCACGCTCCTCCTGTCTGGATGTCCAGGCAGAGACAGAGGCTTTGTCCATCTCACAGGATGCTGGCACACCTTGCTCTGTCCCAAAACCAAGGCTTCACCTGCTCCTAGTGACACCTGTTGCTCAAGCACTGGTCTCAGTTGCCAGAACCAAACCATCTCCTGTTCCACTTCGCTCTGTGTGTAACCCTCCACATGGCTCCATTACCAAAACCTTCTGCCCTCTCAAATAATCCTTTCAGCCAAACTGGGGAGATACAAGCTGGAGAAGTGGAGTTTAAGGTGGCTGAAAATTCTACTAGATGTCCGGACTCAGAGGATTCTCACCTTAGCTAAATACTGCATCTCCCACACAGGCACCTTGATCCACTAAATTTGCATCACCAGAATAGTTTGATTTTACCAGAAACAAAGGGCAAAGGCTCAGACAAAAGAATACAGAAATATATGCCACTGTCTTGAGAGCTGATTAAAATCCTCCTGTTTACTATCTCCTGTGCCAATAAAAACAAACAAGGAAACAAAACTAGAAAAGCTCCCTAATTAACCCCATGGAAAGGATTTGCCTTCCAATTCTTAATGAGTGGTGAGAAACATTCCACATTTCATTAAGGGCGGGGCCATGTGGTGCCTTTAGGGGAATCACACATTTTAAAACCATGTCAGGCAACCCAGGCAGCAAGAGCTCTGAGTCTCATGCTACTATACAAAAACTGTTCCTCTGGGAAATCTAGATGGACCATCTGTGCCAAGGGGATCCATTTCTGTATAATATCTCCTCAGGAGTGCAGTGAATAGCACAGATTCAATAGCAGCATGACACCCAAGGGAAGGATGAATAAAAAGGTAGGTAAAGGATGCTGTTGGTTTCTTATGAGATTTAAAGATTATTTGCATGACTTTGTCAAATATTTCCCGTCATTGCTCAGTACCCCTCATTCATCACAGACATTTCTCTGGCAATCAAAACAAAAGCTCCACCTGCAACACAAAGCCTGCAATCAGGTTTTCACCCATCGGATGAGTTCTTTCCTAGTCAGTCTTTTCCAGCTTGGGCCCTCACACCCTTACTTCATCCCAGAGCTCTGTAGTCACTCTAGAAGCACTTTTGGACATTATCCCTGGAGCCCACATCAAAGACCAGCAAATGGTATTGCTCCAAAGGCAGGGCAAGCTCAGCAGCCTTCTTCTGCAACAAACCTCTCAAGACATCAGGTCAGGTTAGGAGACTTCTGCTTAAGATTTCTGAGAGAGGGAGTCTCCTGAAGATATCACAGGTATTTTCTCCTTCAAGGAGGAAAAATTGTTTGAGCACTGGTCCCTCTGGCAAATTCCCAAATGTGTCTTTTTGTCCTCACCAGTTTGCAGGTGACAGCACCTGTTCTGAAGTTAAAGTTCACAGGGGAGCAGAAGCCTTTTTTTCTGTTGCCAAAACGCACCAGCTTCCAGTCTTCCTCCCCCTGACCTGGTTGGCCCTGGTCCCCATCTGCCCTGCCTTGCTTGCTCTGTGCAGCTGAAGCTCTTGGCTCCATGACACACCCACCACACAGCACTGGAAGCAAATCTACTCAGGGCTTCCATGCACAAGCTAGGCAGGGTTTCTTGCCATTTCTCCTGATGCTCTTTTAAGCATTTTAACATGGAGAATGCAAGAGGCAACCCAGCCTGCAGGGCCAGGCTGTGGGGGTGGCCATCACATCCTGTTGTGATGAGTGCCAGAAATGTACAAACTCATTTGAGCTCATCTGCAAAGCATGGCATGCAAATTTATCTATGCCATGCATTCAAAGGAATTTATCATCCACCTAAGTGCATCCATCAAACAAAATGCCCTTATGTGACTACTATGGGTTCAACAGGCACAGCCCTGGCTGGGCTGGCGCATGCCAAGGCACCTCATGGCCCAAACATGGATTGGCTGAGGATCCCCAGTTATGGCCTAAAGAGTGGAGGAAGCCTAGCAGCTTGGGAAATCTCTTCCAAGGCTGGTGAACACAGGAGAAATACTGCTCAGCAGTGCAGTTCATCTGCCTGGAAGAGAAAGACCAGTATCAATCAGGTGCTGGGAGGGAGAGAGAGAGGGAAAAGGACATGGTGTGTCCTCACAAATGGGATCCATTTGGGGTCTAGACAAGGATTTCAGGGCTGAGAGGAGCTTGGCCTTTTGTCAGTGTGGTTGAAAACACCATCCCAGGACTGCCCCGGGTCACCGATCCTGGTCTGTAGAGGACTTTTCCAGCAATTGGTGTGAGTGTTCTGCCCACAATTACATGCTCCTGTCCAAGAAATATTAGGAAACCTCATTTTAACCTCAAAACAAACATCCATGAGGGAAATATCATAGTGTAAACAAGGAAGTGAAAGGCACCAGGAACCTGAAACACAGCCTGTATCATCTGGGGTGCCTTACATTTCAGAAGAGCATGTAAAAATTTTTCTGTCAGCTTGGGCAACCTCCTGAGCCTGGGGCAGTATAAAAGCCAATGCAGGTCCTTGGTCACTCATGCACTTCACTCTCTTTTTTCTCCTTAAAAACAAGGTGAGTCTGCAGTCCCTTTTCCTTCTGCTACTGCCAGAGGATGAAGCCATTACTCAGTGGACTGTTATTCTTTTTCCCGTATCTTTGCCTGAAAGCCCCATAATTTCAAAGTTATAATAATTTGGAAGGAAGGGGGTCACATTTTCCACTCCAAGGGAAGTTCCCACCTTCCTTGGAAGACATCTTTCAAACCTGGATACTCTTTACTCCCTTTACCTTCATTCTGCAACAGATGAGATGGAAGCCGTGTTCTCTTCCACCAGGATGTGGACTTGTGTGAATGTGTCCTGTGCTCTGGGCTCGACAGAATGTTCATGGGCTGTTATTTGCAGAGTGCTTGGGACCTAAAGACAAGGATTATATTTGCTATCCTACATAGAACCTAACTTACATAAATGGCCTTGTATAAGAGTGCTGTGTGCCATCCCACTGCTGGGCATGACTGTGTGCTCTGATAGAGGTGCTGGCCTAGTTTGTTTTTTTTGAATCCTTGCTACATCGCTCTTGCAGTTTAGCCAACTGCATCACAGTGCAAGGTTTATCTTTCGTTGTTACAGTGGGCTCTACCTCATAAATTAATTCAATTTTTACAAGTTGGCAGAGTCTAGGGTGAGGTGGGGAGTTTGGCTTTACTGCATCAAACTTTTATGACAATGAACAAAGAATGGGGAGATCATATTGAATGTATTCTGCCTCCCACTCTACTTCATTAGCAAGGCTGGAAAACTCCTCCTTATTCTCCAGCTCCACACTGAGACAAGGAGTTTGCAAATTTAATTCTCTTTCTCTTTGGAAGAAGTCACACAACTGGTTCTTCAAGTTTTCAGCCAATCTCTTTTTACCATTCAATTCCTTTTCAGCTTTCTCTCCAAGGTATTCCACTTCTAATTTGCAAAGCTTTAGTTAAGTAAAACAAGACTAAATGCCTTATTTCATTGGTTGACAACATACTTCTCTCACCAAAATAACAGTGAGTTTTTCCTTTTCTATTACCATGTCCCACTTTTTCTTGACTATACTGTGCCTCAGTAAATATTCTGTTTTGTCTGTTTCGCAAAATTTGCCATCCTGCCAACTACACTAAATTGTCACTGGTGGAGAGGGAGATTCAGACAGTTTTTTAGAGAAGTCCTGCTGAGTTGTGAGGTGCAGAGAGGACACCCTGGCTTTCTAAATTCCTCCTCAAAGAGGAATCTGGGTTAGGCTGCATCCAGTCTTAGCCCTAGACTGTGAGTGGTTTAAGTAACTTTGTCCCACAGGATTAATTCTGGAAAATTTTAGGTACATACATATACATATAAATATATATATTATTATGACAAATTATTAGACAAAATATATTAATCAGAATTATTTACTACACAGTATAAAACCTAAAACTATTAATACTGTGTGGAATATGATAAGATACTGCACTATATAAAGTAATTATATTAAAGAAATTATATTAAACCTAGCAAAAATAAAGAATTATTGAAATAGATATCGGTGCAACTCAGCAAACCAACGCTAATGGGCAGATCTCTTTTATTTGACATAAAGGAGTAGTCTTGAAGGGACATTTCCACTCCAGGGCAGGAGAGTTCATGCACAAAACCAAGCAGGAAAATATTAGAAGAACCTATTGTCTAAAATTGGACTGGACTTCTATAGTATAGAGGGATTGACTCTCAGTCATGTGTCTGTCATTGTAGCAAGGTAAGGATGTTGACTGGGGTGTGGTGAGCCAGATAGAGAGCCCCCCACCCCACCCCTCAGTCCACTACTGAGAGCCTGGCAAATAAGGCATTCTCCAAGTTGCTCACCCACATTACAGAGCAGAATATCCTGCTATAGTGTCTCACCCTTCCATCACTCGAGGAAGACCCACGGCTGTCATCTGTGCCTGCCACATCCCCCCAGAGCAACACCTTTCACTCTGGCAGCTGGAGACAACGTAGGGAGAGAGAAAGACCACAAAGAGGCACAGGCTGGGATGCAGCAAAACTTTAATGAGTTGAAAGAGGGAAAGGAAGTCCTCTGAGTGGGCACCGTAGTGCACAGAGCAGCAGAGGGACAAATGAGACTCTGTCCCTTGGCCACGGTGCAGTTCACAGCTTGGATGGGGCTTAGCCAGTGATCACAGCCCAGAGGAGGACAAAACAACAGAGCAGAAAATGAGAGAAAGAAGTGTGGCAGAAACAGGCAATTTAGACAGAGTCCATGGTTTCAGAGAGCCCAGACACCCCTCCTCCAGTGCAGGTGGAGTCATGGATGCTCAGTGCCTCGGAAAGCAATGGTCAGGATCTCCACACTCTGTCCATTTCCATCTTCTGGGTTCCGGGGGGTCCTTCTGTGGGGCAGTCACCAGCAGCTTTAGCAGACCCTGTTGTGGTGGTGCCTGGTGATGCAGGAGAGATCAAAGCCCCCAGAGCTGATGGGCACTCCCTGAGAGCTGAGGATGCTGCCAACAGCAGCAGAGGTGGAGGATCCCACAGCGGTGTTCTGTGGGAAGGAGCTGAGGATGGGCCCAGGAAGGGTCACCACCACGGGGGAGGGCTGGATGATGATGGTGGAGCTCTGGCACTGCCTGACACAGGGCTCATTGCAGCTGTTGGCCAGTGGGGTGGGGCCGCAGGGCTGGCTGCAGGGGTTGCAGGGCTGGTAGCAGGGGTTGTAAAGCTGGCTGCAGGGGTTGCAGGGCTGGTAGCAAGGGTTGCAGGGCTGGAAGCAGGGGTTGAAAGGCTGGTAGCAAGGGGTGCAAGGATGACAGCTGGACATGGCTCTGAGTCACAGGTGCACCTGGGAGAGAAGAAAGAGACAAGATGGGTATTATATTTCTTTTTCTTGAGCATGATCTTATAAACTCTCAAAGGAATATATAGTAGGCCCAAGGACAGCTCAGCTATTGTTTTGGGGGCATAAAATAAGCAGGATGACTTTTGCTGCAATGTTAGAAACAAAAAGGTTTAATAAAAGGCAAAATAACAAACAGAAAAATCCGAGCCAGGTGCAGAGGTCTGCTCCTGGCAAAAACACCTCAAAAAGCCCCTAGTTCCTTTGTTCTCATTTTTTTCTACTTGATTGTTCAGGCAGGACTTTTTGGCTTCTATCCAATTAGATGCCCTCAAGTTTTTGGTGAAGTCCCTGAGGTCCTATGAGGTGGCTTTTCACCTAATCGTTGAGAGAAACTTCTGGGCTTCTTTCCTTTTTTGAGGGACAAAGGATAGTTTTGTCACTCTGTCAACAGGGGGCAAATTCCTACACATGGGGATGGCTGAGGAGCCACCTCTCCCCCCACCACAAGGGAGCCAAGACACAGCCTGGCCTGGGAGATGCAGCCAGTGCAAGGAGGACCACACGACTCTTTGCCTTGTCCCCACCACTGGGCAAGGACAGACAGGCCTACAAAAGCACTTTCTTAGTCAAGAGAACAAGAGTTCCCCCAGCCCAGACACAGCCCCTCTCCACACCAAACCCTCTCTCCACTTCCCCTCCCCAAACAGGCAGCCTCAAGCCCAGTATAAGACAGAGCCTCCAACTCACTTGCTTCCAAAGCAGATGAAGGTTGAAGTGAAGTGGATGAGAGAGTGAAAAGCTGGGATGCCTTATATACTGGTCCTGCACTGCCCCAGGTCCAGAGGAAGTCTCTCTGGAAACAATAATTTTCTGAGAAGCTCATTTCAAGTGCAAAACACTCCAATTAATGATATGGGCTGTGTTTTGTTTTCCTGTATGGCCGCATTTTCATTGCCTTCTTTGGCCACACACGTTTCTCCCTGAAGGCTCCTTTTTAGAGCTGATCATGGAAGCCCATGGACTTGTGGGACAGGAGCTCATTGGTGCCAGCAGAAGATGAGTCTTGAGTGCCAGAGGCGTTGCCGGCAGTCTGGGGACATTGGCTTGGGGCACTCCCGTGGGCTTGTTTGCAGCCCCGTGGGCAGGAAGGGCCCTGCTGCTCCAAGCCCTGGAATGCTTGCTCAGATGCTAAAGGGTCACTGAACGTGATGATGTGCCACATCCTCCTCCTCCCAGCCTCCAAAATCTCTGATTGACAGTGGCCATTGCCTTTACAGGTTGGTCATCAGCACTGCTTCTCTTGTCTCTCTTCCTTTTAATGCTGCTCTCAGAAGTCCTTGGTGCACTTTTTGGGCCTCATCCACTCCATGGACTCTCTCTGATAGTCAGTCCCCTACGAACACAAACAACCTCATCATGTCCTCTCCCAGGATGCTCCTGACTTGCCCACCCAAGAGGTTTCTCTGAGTCTCCTTTGCCACACAAGCCCACAGCTGCTCAAGTGGAGCAGGGCTCTTTGGTCAGTGTTGGTTTCACCACATCCAGGCCTCTTCTGCATGTCACATTCCCCCACAGTTAGTGGGGCACAAGAACTAGGGAGGGGACACAGCAGGGACAGCGCCTGAACAATCAAGTAGAAAAAAATGAGAACAAAGGAACTAGGGGCTTTTTGAGGTGTTTTTACCAGGAGCAGACCTCTGCACCTGGCTCGGGTTTTTCTGTTTGTTATTTTGCCTTTTATTAAACCTTTTTGTTTCTAACACTGCAGCAAAAGTCATCCTGTTTATTTTATGCCCCCAAAACAATAGCTGAGCTGTCCTTGGGCCTACTATATATTCCTTTGAGAGTTTATAAGATCATGCTCAAGAAAAAGAAATATAATACCCATCTTGTCTCTTTCTTCTCTCCCAGGTGCACCTGTGACTCAGAGCCATGTCCAGCTGTCATCCTTGCACCCCTTGCTACCAGCCCTGCAACCCTTGCTACCATCCTTGCAACCCCTGCTACCAGCCTTGCAACCCCTGCAGCCAGCCCTGCGGCCCCACCCCACTGGCCAACAGCTGCAATGAGCCCTGTGTCAGGCAGTGCCAGAGCTCCACCATCATCATCCAGCCCTCCCCCGTGGTGGTGACCCTTCCTGGGCCCATCCTCAGCTCCTTCCCACGGAACACCGCTGTGGGATCCTCCACCTCTGCTGCTGTTGGCAGCATCCTCAGCTCTCAGGGAGTGCCCATCAGCTCTGGGGGCTTTGATCTCTCCTGCATCACCAGGCACCACCACAACAGGGTCTGCTAAAGCTGCTGGTGACTGCCCCACAGAAGGACCCCCCGGAACCCAGAAGATGGAAATGGACTGAACATGGTCATTTAGAGGCACTGAGCATCCATGGCATTTGGGAAGAGCCTTGCCTGGGCTCTCTGAAACCATGGACTCTGTCTAACTTGCCTGTTTCCCTCCTCTTCTTTCCTGTCTCTGCTCTCATGTCTTCCCCTGGTGGTGAAGCCCCATCCAAGGTGTGAGCTGCACCATGGCCAAGGGACTCATGGCAGAGTCTCTTACATCTCCCTGGTGCTCCCTGCACTATGGTGCCCACTCAGAGGACCAGCTTTTCTTCTTAATTAAAGTTTTGTTGCAACCCAGCCTGTGACTCTGTGTGGTCCTTGTCTCTCTCCATGCTCTCCCCAGCTGCCAGAGAGAAAGGTGTACATGGGTCATCTGTTTCTCAGCACCAGATTAGTCTTTCCCTAGAGAGTGTTTAGATATTGAAGAGGTTCTCCAGGCAGTCCCAAGGCTGCCAGAGCTCAAGGAACATTTGGACAATGCTCTCAGGCACAGGGGGGGATGGCTGTGGTGCCTGTGCAGGGCCAGGATTTGGACTCAGTGATCCTTGTGGGTGCCTTCCAGCTCAGGGTATTCGGTGATTCTGTGAAGTCTGAGATCCAGGTGCAGTTGCTATTTCACCTCCACAGCCAGACATGTCCAGTCAATGAACCTCGTTCTGATAGCAGACACTCTTCAGAGGATGGACAAAGGGGTGAAAAGATTCTGCAGTGGAAATTTTATCTCTTCAAGTCCCAAGACCACACTTCCTTGTAGACTAGCCTACACTGACCTGGTCTCACTGCACTGTTCCAAGGGCTGAAAGAAACTGTCAAAGGCTCCACTAAGTCTAACACTTTGGTTACAAAAACTTTTTTGGTGTTTGCAGAGGTTTTTATCCCACAACAAAAAAAGGAAGGATTGTTTCCAGGTGGAACATTTAAGCGTAAGTAAAGGGATTCTGGTACACAGTTTTTGTGGGTAGTGGACCCTCTAACGACAAAGAAGTGGAAATTTCATGGCACAGAATGGATTGGCAGATGTGGACCAAGTTATCCTGGTGTACTAGAGAAAAAGTGGTGCTCCATTTGAACTTCCATCCACAGAGATTAAAGCTGGCCTGGATGCCATTAGCAATAAAATCCCTTTGGCATCTGGAATGTCATTATCCTGCTAGTTTTGCAAGATTTAGAAAGCAGAAAGTAATCCAGTGTCTGACTAAGCACACTTGATGTAAGCCTGTGTTACCGGTCGCTTCAGAGCCATCCCCAAACACCTCCCAGAATAAAGGTTGAGCAACCTCTCTTTCCCTAGTTGTCTTGGGAGAGCATCTGCAGGAAAAAATGACACAGAGGCAATGGCTCAAATGCAGCACAACTTTAATGAGTCAAGAGAGGGAAATTAGGTCATTTCAAGCGATGGTCATGGTGCAGTGAGCATGAGGGACAGATAAGAGATTGTGCCCCATGGCTGTGGCTGAGAACTCTCTAGAAGTCCATCTGCCTACCCTACAGAGGGAGCAGGGCCAGCAGGTCCTCCCCTGGCTGGATGTGTGGGCCTCACAGCCCCGGGGAGCACAAGGGAACAAGGACACAGGAGGGAGACGACAGAGGGGAAGAGGGCAGAGACAGCAAGGGGCTGTGCTTCCCAAGAGTCCTTCTGCAAGGGCTGCTGGGCTTGCTCAGCCCCTCAGGAAGCAACAAGCTGATCCTCCATCCCCAGTGAAGAACCATCTTGCTGAGTCCTTCAGTTCACACCCTGAAATCATCACCACCAGCTTTAGCAGGGGAAGCACCTCCTGCCACAGAGGCCACTGCCCAGGCCAGAGAGACCAAAGCCCCCAGAGTTGATGGGCACTCCCTGAGAGCTGAGGATGCTGCCAACAGCAGCAGAGGTGGAGGATCCCACAGCAGTGTTCTGTGGGAAGGAGCTGAGGATAGGCCCGGGCAGGGTCACCACCACAGGCGAGGGCTGGATGGCCACGTGGGAGTCCTGGCACTGCCTGACACAGGGCTCATTGCAGCTGTTGGCCAGCGGGGTGGGGCCGCAGGGCTGGCAGGGCCTGCACGGGCTGTAGCAGGACATGGCTGGGGGCTGCAGATGCACCTGGCAGAGAGGACAGAGGGGTAGAAAAGCATAAGTGAGTAGAAGCCTGTAACACCACCACAAGGGAGAGAAGACATGAGAGCTCACAAAAAGAGCTGGAAGGATAGTAGGGAAGCCCACAGGCTTCTCATTCTCCAAAGCCCAAAAGAGACCTGAAAAACGCTACTGTGCTCTGGGAGATCCCTTCCTAGCCCACACCACAGTAGACACCTAAATGAGCTCCAGCCTCTCTCCATGACACCTCTTTTGCACATTTCCGTCTCCCATAGAAAGCAATCCCAGAATCAGGTATAGAACAAAGAGACAGCTTTGTGCTGAAAAATCCCACAGAAGCATAATGATGAGAAGAATAAAAGAAGAATAAAGAGCTTCAGACTTACCTTGTTCCCAAGGAGACTGTGTGCAGGAGAGGAGTGGATGAGACAGTGAGGAGATGGAACAGCTTTTATACTGCTCCTGTGCTGCCCCAGGCCCACAGTCACTGTGTGAGGACAGTAATTTTCCAACAGACTCATCTCCAAAGCAAAATATCCCACCTAATGCCCCAGGTTGTGTTT